TGGGCTACCAAGTGAGCTCCAGGAAAGGCGCAAAGCTACACAGAGAAACCCTGTCTTGAAAAACCAAAAAAAAAAAAAAAAAGAATTTGGTAGGTCATATAGAAATTAAGCGAATGCTGGTGGGTGGCACAGGCATGGCACGGGGATTACCCCCAGGCAGCCTGTGCTCCTGACAACCCAAGGGAATGGTCTCCAGTTCTTTGGCTGCTAAAGAAACGCTAAGAATTTTTTTCCCCACAAGAGGGCGATAAGTGCACAATGTTTCACAAGAGCGTGTAGGCCAAGCGGCTTCAAGACTTTCCGGTCCCCACCCAGGACCTAAGAATGAGAAGTTGCACCCGGGAGACCGAAGCAAGGACCCACGCCCACCCACTCAGGCGCTCACTCCCACGGGAGGAACCGGTTTATGGAGTCTATCAAAAAGCATGCTCGTTGTTCGTCCTTATGTCTACCATAGCTGTGCACATCAGATCAAATATGAGGCGTTAGAGGAGCCTAGCATTTTCTTCTGTGAGTTAACTCTGGAAACCAACGGACATTCCTTCAAGCATATCACTCTCCACCTGCATATATTCCAGAATATATACTTCAAAGCAGTCCAAGATTGCAAACCGCGGGTGGCACATAGGTCAGGGGGCGGGGAGAAGGGGGATTTTCATTTGAAAAGAGATATATTTGCATCCCTACGTATGCCTACTTTGTTTGCAGACACTTCTGAATATTTGGGGTTCTGCCCTTTCGCATCTTCTGGGGGCCTTTCGGAGTCCTCCAATGAAGCACTCCAGTTCTGGTTCAGTGGGGGTCGCCCGGGCTGCAGCTGTTTTGATTGGGTGTTGGGATGCCAGTTGCTGGGAGGGCAGGCCCCAGGGGGGTTGAGGCAAGCCCTGGAGAGTGGTTCTGGGTTTTTTGGTAGAAGAACCCTCCAGGCATCTGCCGGCGCTTCCTCATGGGTGAGCGCGGAGTGCAGAGCGCCCCCTTCCCCCGCCCTCCTCCCCGGCCTTCGCCCGAGCATGGATTGACCGGTTCTAGCTTGGGAGACCTAATGGTCTCCTTTGACAGAACTTCCAGGTCTGGTTATCACCTGACAACACTTAGCGTCAGCAAAGAGACCCTTGCATGCACGCCTCCCACTCCCCCCACCCCCCCACCCCGCCCCAGTACCCGCGCGCTTCCGAGAGCGGGCTTGGCCAGCCTGGGGACGTTCCTGTGTCTTCCTCGTATTTCCATGTCGCCACTATCTCTACCCCTTTTGTTAACAATGACTTAAAACCAATCTTTCTCTTCTTATTCAGCCGGAACAGGCCTCAGAGAAGTGGAGGGGTTCAAATCTTCCAAACGGTTCGATAAACAGGTTCCGAAGAGACTTTTTCTTGTTTAGTATATGGGATTTTTTGTTTGTTTGTTTGTTTTGCCCGAAACACACATAATTCCCCTTTCTCCCCTCCCTCTGTCTGTAGCAATAGCCCTTCTATAGCACCCTGGAGCATCCCGACTTTTGACACTAAAATAACTCGGGCAGAGCCGTTGGCGTCTTTGACGAGACTACATACAGTTAGCTGAGGTTTCACTCGCCTTCACCCGGTGTGTCACGGGGGATTTAAGGGATGGTTCCTTTCTCTTAAAGCAGACGTATCAATAGCGCGTGGCACCCTGCCTCAAAGGTCAAGGAAGAATGCGGAGCCCAGTGGATCCCGCAAGCCACGGATTCCAGGAGCAGGCTGCAACAGGAATCTAGACCCCCAAGCGCCACTGTCCTCCAGGCTCAAAGTCCAGGGGGCAGATCATCTTCCTCAACGCGGCCCTGTGAACCTTTCCAGAAACCTCGGAGTTGTCAAAAGCTTTCATTTATTTTTAATTAAAATGCAAATCATTTGCTTTCAAGCACAGCCTTGCCCCCTCCCCCCAATGTATACATATAGAAACATAGTGTGGGATGAGCAGTGGCCGTCGCCTAGCTTCCACTTTTTGGGAAAGCCAGGCTTTATTGGGAACTGTGCATTGAGCTGGGAGGCCCGGGGAGGTTACCCCAAGGAAAACCAAGTCCCGAGTCCCAAGAGCATTTGAAAGCAGTAAACACTGAGCCCACCAGACAGTTGCCTGGCAGGACCCCAGCCAGAGTGGACGAGTGGAGGGCAGGGCGATCTCTACCCTAAGGAGCCGAGCAGCTCACTCTCCAGGGATGCTGGGGGCAGATCCTCCACAACACCTGGCTAGAGGCACCGGCCTTTCTTCAGAGGCCGGCAGACTGAGTCCGGAAAACATGCTGCTGCCGCTGCCGCTGAAAGATTTGGGCACCCGGATTCACCCCTCAGGAATCAAGAACACAGGTCCCATAATTTTTTTATTGTTAGAATTAAGAATCATACTATTTTAAGTCTACAACGTGAACGACAGTTATAGAATCAACGGATGAGACTTCTTCATTTCAAACCCAGCCTTGCAACTACAGAACACGTTAAACTGGAGTTGACCTACACTGATCTCTGTCTTGCTGTCTGTCTGTCTGTCTCTCTCTGTGTGTGTGTCTGTCTCTGTCTCTATCTCTCTGTCTCCCCCACACACTGTGTGTGTGTGTGTGTGTGTGTGTGTGTGTGTGTGTGTGTGTGTCCTTTTGTCTTTCTCACTCGGGTCTCTTTTTTACATCTCCTCCCCAACACCAAATACTAAATTCTCAATAGAAAAATGATTTTTTCCCTAAAACTACCAGTTCTTTCCCGATGACAGTGTCTACTAGGATAGCTACTTCTTGAGTAGTTAACTTAGAAAACCAGTAGCTTAGTTTTCTCAGTTCCTACCTAGTCCCCGAGAACGCTCTTCCCGGAGGACCTGAGCAGATGGCTGGAGGCCCTAGATTCGGGTTGCAGGCTGATCTTGTGTTACCGGGGAAATGCTGGATCCGAGTGGGAGCAGTTTGTGAGGAAGCCAGAGGCATCGAAATTCCAGCGCCAGAATCGGAGTCCTTGGCGGCACCGCTGCCACGGTGGCTCCGAAGCCTCCCTGCGAATTTGGCTGGCTGCTCGCCTCGGGTTTAGGCGCAGAGGCGGGCGAGGGGGGGGGAGGGCGGAGGGGGGGGTGGAAGTGCAGAGAGTCCCCACTGCAGCTCCCCTCCGAAGCTGGAGGCTGGCAGCCCCTTAGCATGCCTCCCATCCCTGCAGAACGCTGCCTTTCCTAGGTCAGATCCTAAAGTCTATGAAACGATGGTGTGAACCAAGTCTTGAAGTTAATAAAGGTGGGACAGATAGAGGAAGACAAATATCAGTCCCTCGACTCACAGTGAATGAAAGGAGCAAAAGGTGATTAACCTCTCGGCTTTGCTCTCACATTTCAAACTGGACCCCAGGTTGACACCTGTACAAGACTAAGCTTAGGAAAGAAGGGTACAGGGATGATTAGGGCCTCCTGCTTGAACTAACAAAGGCGCCTTGACGTTCAAGCTCCCTGGTGTAGCTCAATTTTTATTCTTGGGTGGTTTGTTGTGTCTATTTCTCTTTTCTCAGCCTTAAATTTGGGCTCAATAATCTCATGCAGATCTGTGTGGTGGCACCCCCCCCCCAGACACTGGTGCATTAACTGCCTTGTTCTTCAAGATCGACCCAAGGGCTTTTCTCCTCGCTTAGGTCAACCCTGACCAGAACTTAAAGGTCAGCCACAAGGAGCAAAGCCCCTTTGACCATGGCTCCTAATCCCAGCCTACAATTCCCGGCATCTCCAGCTTCCTCAACAGCTCGGGGCTGAGAGTTGGACCAGACATTCTGGAGGTATTCCTGTATCTAAAGTTGTCGCTTGAATTTTAGTGATTCTGCCTCGTGTGAATCCAACTAACAAAAACAGAGAGAGATTTATTATTATTATTATTATTATTATTATTATTCACCTCATTCTTCTTAGGTTTAGACTCCACGCAAGAGAAAATTATTCCCATTGAGCTGATTTCGTTCCCAGAGCAATGAGACCCCCCCCATAAGTGATAACGATGTGTGTGTGAGGGGGGCAGGAATGAAAATAAACATGGAGAAGAAACAGAAAAGAGAACGAGGTGGAAAGATGGGCCAGGATGACTCTTAGGCCTGAGAGGGGATTAAGGACATCTATAGGCTTAAGGAGCAACAAATTAATTTACACAATTCTGGAAGAGCCCAGATGGTCTTTAATTAATCCCTTCAAAAGAAGGAACCCGGCCTGGGATGCGCCCGCTGCCTGCTCCATTAGCTCCGTTTCGCGAGGGTCCAGACACCATTCGAGGTGAGGCGCCGAGAGCTGGTGGGGGAAGTGGAAGAGGATGACGCGAGCTGGTGTGGGCGGAAGGGACGAACTTAAACTGCTTTTCCATAAAAGGGCTGGCTTTTCATTATTCCTCTCTTTAAAAAGTAATACCCTCTTCGTCCCTGCTCCCTCCTCCCCTTTTCCATTTTATTTTGCACAATTAATTGAGCCCGGCCGCTGGCCCGGGGGCTGGAACCACTCTTCTCGCCAGGTCCCTCCCCTCTTGGCTCCGCCCAAGGGACGCTGGGGCGGGGACTAGGAGGGCGCGGCCTTACGGCTCCCTAGCTCTAGCCAATCAGAGGATGTGGCGCTCTCCGGTGGGCGTGCCCCGGGAGCAAGGCCCGGCCGAAGCGCAGCGCTATTGGAGGCGGTGGTTACGCCCCAGACCTGCGCCCCGGCTCCTCAGCCCCGCCCCAGCGAGCCGCCCCGGAGTGACGTCCCCGAAAGTTCTCATTTTGTCCCCCCACCGCCCCCTCCCTTGCGTCCCCCCAGCTAAAGAGCGGCAGGGAGGGGTGCAAATGTTTTATTACCTTTGAGAGCTTCATCCGAACTGTCAGGCCCGGAGGGAGCGAGGAGAGAAGGGAAGAGCCGCCGAGAGGGTCAGTTTGGCCAGAGGACAGGGTTTAGAAGAGCCAAGCCTGGAAAGCCAAGGAGAAATGCCAGAGAGGCGAGAGCAAGGCGGAGAGTGAGAGCGCCGGGGGGTGGGCGGGCGGGGGTCGCTGGGCCGGTTTGCAGAAGCGGACGGACACGATCGGAGCGGGAACCGACCCGTCAGACTTTTCACACTTAGGTTTTCGTCTTTTTTTTTTTTTTTTTTTTAAATAATTCCTTTTCGTTACCGCTACTCGGGCGCCGCGTGGCCCAGAGGGGAAGCCGGCGCGTGGGCGCGCCAAGTCCCCGGGCCGCCGGAGCGGTGGCACTGCCCTTTCTGGCGCAGTAGAGAGCCAGGCCCGCGGCGGTGGCAGGCGCGATCCCCGCGCGGGCCGGCTGCGCTCCGTCGTCCCCCGAGCGAGCCAGCGAGCAGCGAGTGCGAATCAGCTGCGCAGCGGCCGGCGCGGAGCTCCCGAGCCAGATTAGAGGCGCGCACCGGGCGGAACGCGGCGCCCTTTGAAGCTCCCCAAAGCCGGCGCGCCAGCCCCCACCCTCCAACATCAAAGTGTGCGCCGGGTGGCTCCCAGCGTCGTGGCAAACTCTCGGGGACCAGCTCCGGGCGAGTTTTGGTGATTTCCCGCGGGGGGACTGGAGAAGAGGAGACGTAGAGCGCTCTGAGCGCCGGGAACCGAAGCCGCCACTCTCCGAACCGAAGCCGCGCCGAGCCCGCCCGCGCTCCCGCTGCCCTCGCCGGCCGCAGCCTCCCGCGGGGGCGCTTGGACATTTCTGCTGCGCATCCCGGACAGCAACTCCCGGCGCCCGCGGCCCCGGGCTCCCTCGGCCCGTGGTGGCCTCCGAGTGAGCCGAGCCACACTCCACTTGCGCCCCCTAATCCCCGGCGCCTCGGGCTCTCCGGAGCGCCGGCGGGGCCACCGGCCTGCGCGGCTGCGGGTTCGGGCCTGGCTGTGGGATGTTAGCTGTGGGGGCGATGGAGGGCCCCCGGCAGAGCGCGTTCCTGCTCAGCAGCCCGCCCCTGGCCGCCCTGCACAGCATGGCCGAGATGAAGACCCCGCTGTACCCCGCCGCCTACCCCCCGCTGCCCACCGGGCCCCCCTCTTCCTCCTCGTCCTCCTCGTCCTCGTCGCCCTCCCCGCCTTTGGGAGCCCACAATCCAGGCGGCTTGAAGCCCCCGGCCGCGGGGGGCCTCTCGTCCCTGAGCAGCCCCCCGCCGCAGCTCTCGGCCGCCACCCCGCACGGCATCAACGACATCCTGAGCCGGCCCTCCATGCCGGTGGCCTCAGGGGCCGCCCTCCCTTCCGCCTCGCCCTCGGGGTCCTCGTCCTCCTCCTCCTCGTCCGCCTCGTCCGCCTCCGCCACCTCGGCCTCTGCGGCCGCCGCCGCCGCCGCTGCAGCCGCCGCCGCCGCCGCCGCCCGGGCTCTACTTCAGCCCCAGCGCCGCGGCCGTGGCCGCCGTGGGCCGGTACCCCAAGCCCCTGGCCGAGCTGCCCGGCCGGACGCCCATCTTCTGGCCCGGGGTGATGCAGAGCCCGCCCTGGAGGGACGCACGCCTGGCCTGTACGCCCCGTGAGTACTGTCGCGGGCCCGGGTCCCCGCGTTCCTATTGCTGCTCTCGCGTCCTGTCCCCTAGTGTGCCGGAGGGTGGGTGGGTCCTCGGGGCCACCCCCAGGAGTTTGACAGTGCCAGATCAGCCGGATGGTGGCTGGGCCCGGGCGTCTAGCAAGGGACGCAAGCTTTCCTGAGCTCGTCAAGCCTCGGGCAGGCCTGGGCTCCGCGGGAGAGCGTGTGTCTGGATAGAACGCAGCGCAGTGGGCGAGTTTTTGTCTGGGCTGTGCGTGAATTACCCAGCTCTGGGTTAAGAGAGTTGGGAAGCGGGGTGGGGAGAAAGGCCTCTGCACCCCTGTTTTTCTGGCTCTTTCTTGCCAACCAGAGCCGCCCTCAAGGCTTCAGAAGCCTGACCCCGGTTTTCCGCAAACCTGAGAGTGTGGACAGGGCAACTTCCTATCGCCCCAGGAAAAGCAGCCATCCCCACGCACACCTCTTTCCTTGACGTCTCTAGCTCACATTTTTTTTGCCATCTCCCCGCACACCTCCAGTACGCTTGTCTACAGCCGGCGGTTCCCAGAACCGGGGCGAGGAAGCTTCGGGGGCCTGGGCCTTCCCTACTCCTGGACCCCAGGGTCCTGGGCAAGTTGGATCTGGGCACATTGAGGAGGAATTTGACACTCAATGACCTAACACAAGAAAGGAGAGGGAGAGAAATGTGACGCGTGACAGAGCAGTAAAATGGAACTCCCAAAGACTTTGTCTGGGTCAACTCAATGGCCTTGGTAGTCTTCTGGCTAGTGGGCCACAGCCCCCAGAAGGCTCCTAGCCCCCAGATGGCGTCCAGGGCCCGGCTCTGATCCTCTTCTCACTCTGTTGTTTGCTGGTGACCAAGTCGCCCCCGAAGTTAGTCCAAGTCACTGGAACTCCATACTTGAGGCTTAATGGCAATAACTTCAGTAACCGAGGGAACCAAGTGAGGCTCTCTTGGGGAGGTGACTCCTCAGGGTTACTGGGGTGTCAGGGACACGTATTAGTGTTGACTGTAGGGATCGCCAAAAGCTGTGTCCCGCACCCCCACCCCGCCCTCTCTCCCCCCAGCTCACAGCTGCCTCAGACTAGGGACCTGTTAGTTCACAACTGTGCAAACCACAAGGAGCCTTTTGTGGCCTAACACAAGTTAGAGAAGTGACCAAGGTGTGTGTGTGTGGGGGGGGCAAAATATAATATAAAATAAAAATGTAGTTACCTTCATACCAAACTGCTTGTCTTCCATGCGCACAGGGACTGACCCCGGGAGGGAAGGGTGACCTTTCTCATGTGCTCCTGCTTAGTTTCAGTGTGTGTGTGTGTGTGTGTGTGTGTGTGTGTGTGTGTGTGTGTCCGTCCCATTTCAGTCCTGAACTCTTCAGCAGTCCTCTCCCTAGCTATTTGGCAATGTGGTTAAGCAGAAAGTATTTACTGCTGCTTGGACCGCACCTGGCTTTGATAAAAGTAGCAGGCACACGCCGCCAAAAGGACGCGCTGGGTGCACTTCTGGTGCAGGCCACGGAATTGGCTTTGCCAATTCGCTCCCTGTCCCCCCCCCCACCACCACCACCATGGAGCCCTGTAGCTGATCATCTGGTCACTCTCTGTTATGATATCGGTTCTTGCAGATCAGGGATCCATTTTGTTGGACAAAGATGGGAAGAGAAAACACACCAGACCCACGTTCTCTGGCCAACAGATCTTCGCCCTAGAGAAGACTTTCGAACAAACGAAATACTTGGCGGGGCCAGAGAGAGCTCGCTTGGCCTATTCTTTGGGGATGACGGAGAGTCAAGTCAAGGTGAGTGGCCCTCTGACACCCCCAGGGATAGCATTCCCCGCACGGACGTGCGTGCGTGTGCGTGCGTGTGCGTGCGTGTGTGTGTGTGTGTTCACGCACACGCGCCTGTGTTTTCCCTCTCCCCAAACTAACAAACTAGGTGGAGGTGAGAGGCGCTCTGAGGAGCCTGGGGAGAAGTGGGGAGCAGAGGAGAGGGTCCCCCCCCCAGGCCCTGGGGTCTTTTGGAGGCAAACTGTTGATGAACAAAAGGAATCGAGTCCCCGCCTTAGAAATTAGGCTAATCTAGACTGCAGCCGGTACTGGGGGAACTCGCCTTTATCAGAGAATAAAAGCACTAAGGAAATATATCTGAGCACAGATTGAGCCGATTAGAAAGCTTGATTTGCTTATTTGTAAAGACACTCAAGCTTTTGTTTGCCGATCCAGGCTCCACTAGATATATAATTTCCTAACGGTTATCAGCACCACAATACTTCTATATTAACTTGTAGATTAGGGGTAAATGAATCCAGAGGAACTTAACACTGATAAAACTTGCTTTTGGCTTAGATGAAGATAATCATTTTGGAATAGTAATTTTCCAAATGAGCTGACAAGATTTTTAGGGTATTATGGGGTTGAAGTCTGTTTAAAGCAAGTTTATCCGCAGAATTAAGATACTGCAGTTTATGAAAATTTGCAAGTAAGATGTCACTTTGCTTATAATTGAGTTGTATACTTCATTTCTAGGGAATCAAATTTTAGAAGTCTGTCCCTGAAAATAAAGGGGTTGAACCCGCTGTGTAAATTCAATCTGATGGTTTACTGGGTTTCTGTGTTCTCTTGGTCCAGTTCAGTTTGTTACATTTGTTTCTTTATGGCGAGAGTGTGTGGATCTGCTTTCTTTAGTTATATTGTTTCTCATTAAGGAGCAACATCATTAAGTCTGATACTTTATTTCCCTGCTAGCCAAGCATCACACAATCTATTTCAGCCGAGATTTTTCACGTGGTCATTAGAAAACCATCACATTTGAAATTATTTTTGTAGTGAGTGGCTAGAGAGCCCATCACCTTAATCTGGAGGTCTTCATCTGTCACCATAAATATGTCCATATGGCCGGAAGTGAATTATTATAGCAATATAAAGAAAAACCACTTTTCCTAACAATTCTAATTCCCTGAATAAAATGCACAACAGATCAGAAGCATAAAAGAGAGGGCAGTTCAAAATGTTCAGAAAATTGGTTGTTTATTCCTGATCCTAAAGATAAAAATACAGGTGTCAGACCCGTGTCAAACATCATGAACAGATTGAAGGTATTTGTATTTCCAACGAATGTCTTAGGCAGTAGCAATATTACACTAGTGTTTGAAAGAATAGACGAGACCATAATAAAAATAATGTAACCGGCAACCTTTCAATTCAAAAATAGCTAATGTTAATATTTCACCTTTGGTTTTATGAACATTGAGGGTAGCACCATGATGATTCTGACTGAGACGTTAAATGTCTCCACACCTCTGTATGGGTTGCTATGAATGACCTGAAGTTGTTTTATCAGAAAACTTGGGATCACGCATCTAAAGTGTTGTGGAGAGGAGAGAGGGGGATCGAGCAATGAAGTTAGTGCGGATTCAGGCCTCAAATAAGTACACAGTCAAGTGTTCAAAAGTGAGAAACACAGCAGATGTCACTGGATTTAATACTGTGCTCTTACGGAGGATAAATCACAAATCACAGGGCACTGTAGTTGTTTGAAAGTTCTCAATCTACGATTACAAGTTAAGGACTAAAATCTGCCACTACGGGAAAACTAAGCAAGTGTTCCCGTTTCCAGTCGGAACGTAGGAAAAGCAAGTTTATTTTTAGGGAAGCTCGACCCAAGTCTTGTTTTCACTCTTTCGGAGAAATGGCTTAGGGCCGGCCTCGGCGCTCTTGTGTTACTATCGCTATGGCAACGGCGGTGGGTTAGCGAGGCCAGCAGCCTGACTTTGACGCCTGGACCCCGGGGGCCCGCAAGGGAGGGTGGCGAGGTGGGAGCCTGGGTCTCTCGGCGCTCAATTCTCCCTGGCCCTGCCTCTGCCCTCCCCTCCCCTCCCCTGCCCTCTCTCGGAGCTCAGGTCTGGTTCCAGAACCGCCGGACCAAGTGGAGGAAGAAACACGCGGCTGAGATGGCCACGGCCAAGAAGAAGCAGGACTCGGAGACCGAGCGGCTCAAGGGGACTTCGGAGAACGAGGACGACGACGACGACTACAACAAGCCTCTGGACCCGAACTCTGACGACGAGAAAATCACGCAGCTGCTGAAAAAGCACAAGTCGAGCGGCGGCGGCCTCCTGCTGCACGCCTCGGAGGCCGAGGGCTCGTCCTGAGCGCCGCCCGCACGGCACCGCGGGGATCTCGGCCGCCCCGAACGCGCCCCTCAGCCCGTCCTCCCGCCCCCCCAACCCGGGCCCCAGCACCCCGCTGCTCCCCGGGCCTTTACTATTTTCTAAGATGTACATATCTATTTTTTTAACCTAGAAATTGTGGCGGGGGCTGGAGGGGGGTGGTAGGACGGCGCGTGGATGAGAAGGGAGCCCGCCGACTGCACTGCTCAAAAAAACAAAAAACAAACCCGCAGCCGAACCCGCAACCCCGCGGCTCCCCAGGACCCTTCCCACCCTCGACGTCAGCACTGCCCCCCCTCCATCCCCCTGCTCCCCATCCAGGCTCGGTCCCTTGCTCTGCGGTCCCTGAGATCCCGGTCGCGTTTCTGAAGAGTCGCCAGCCAGCGCCTGGTGGGATTCTCCGAGCCACGCAGGGCGTCGCCCGCCGCCTAGGAAAAAAGGGGACCGAGGCTCCCGCTGCCCACAACTGCTCTGCCCACTAAGTAACCTGTTGAAGGCTCTATGTAAATAAATCGTGAGTCACACTGACTAGAAGTTACTTTATTGTGAATATTTAAAATGTAAAATGCTTTTTGGAATTTGGTATAAAGAGATGGCTACCTTTCCTCCCGTTGGTTTTAAGAGATATTCACACCACTTGGCCGTCTTTCATTTTAACTCGGGAATCTCAGAAAAGAATGTCATCGCCCTCCCCAGACACCTCCCGACTCACTCCTCTTATGGCTCTGGATCTTTCCTAACCGTTCATCCCCTTCACCGATTCTAGCGAGCCCGGCCAACCTCGCTGGGCCCCTGGGCAGCCCCAGGTCCCCCGCCCCACCCCAGGACTTAAAGCCTGAAATTGCAGGACCCGCGAGCTTCTCACACCAGCTTCTGGGTTCCCTTCCGAAATTGCACAGTCGTTTGTTGCTATTTATTAGTGATTTAAAGAAAATATTGGGGAGGGAGGGGCTACAAGACCTTGTATTTAATTTAACCCCTTTCTGATAAAAATGCGTGTTAAAAGTAGATGGTGGGAATTGTTACAAGCGCTCTGGGTCAGAACATAAGAATTCCATTTAGTTGCTGTAATTAAATTCGAAGTGTTTTTGTATCATAAGAATACTATAGAATATGTAAATTGTTTTCTTTTTAAGCTAATAACGGTGATATATTAGCCTCTTTAACATTTATTAATTTATACGAGGAATTCGGTTTGTAAAGAAAAGGCAGCCCCTTTGCAAGACCCATGAAATGTAATGCACTTTCTGTTTTAAAGGATAAATCTAATTAAAAACAGCAACAAAAAAATAGTTTGAATAGAGTCTGTTGCCTTGAATGAATGGGTACAGATCACCTGGCCTCATCAGACATTTCAAATAGAAGCCAAGAGCACAAAAAAAGGTGTTATATAGACTTCCTGGGTAAAGTAGCTCCACCTCCTCCTCCTCATCATCATCATCATCATCACCATCACCATCATCACCACCACCATCGCCATCATAATCATCATCAGTAGCAGCATCTCCATCATCTGCTTACTGGAACTGTCTGGTGGATGCTTCTGATGTCTCTCCTAATTTTTCTCTAAACTCCCCTCCTTTGCCAGGAAGCCCCTGGGGAGTCTGGGAAGACCTCATCTCTTGTATGGGGTGCAGTTCCTCAGGCAACCCCTGATTCAATTAGCTTAGGGGGAGCAGGGAGCTGGGTGCTGCCCCTCTGCCATAGTCACCTAGTCCAATGCAGAAAGTCAGGAGCCCCGAATTTACCAAGCACTATAGTGAGCAGAGAGAAAGCTTTTTTAAATGACCTGATCTGTCAGCCTTTAGCATTACAGACACAGTGCCCCAAGCTTCTCCGTGAGAAAATGTGTTAATCCGGGGCGTTGGAGGGCAGTTACTGTCTTGGGTTTTTGGGAGGGGCATGGGCATAATTGGTTATTGTTTTATTTTCAGACACTCAGTTATAGGTCCAGGGAGATATATTTTTTTTTCCTTAATGATGTAGGCTAATGAGCTTGTGTCCAGAGAAAGACAGATCAGTGGTACCCCCATTCTTTAGTGCAGGGAAAGCAAATATGAGAACTGTTTGGCTTTCTAGAGAATGCATATTTTAAAAACATCTTTTTCTCTCCAGAAGTTGGAATGGCTAATGGTAATTCTTGTGATGTATATTCCTGATGGCATGCTGGAAAAGAAGGAAGGAAATGAATCGCCCCCTTTTATTGTCTCCAGTTTGCAAAGTTCTCCAGAAGTTTCAAATGCATTTTGGTTTCTGTGTTCTTAGCAAGACTGAGATGTTCATCCTATAGAGAGGCAGCTGGATTGATTGCCAAGAAGACTTTGCTCTGCTGGAGTGATAGCCGGTTAAGCCTAACTGTGAACAAACAAGAAACCAGCCTCCTTCTTTTCAGATTTTCCTTCTTCTTTTTCTTCCTTCATCCTTTGTCCTTCGTCCCTCTTCTCTTTCTTTTCAGTATTTTATTATCTCCCTCCTGCCGTTCAAATTCTTTCCCTCTTTTTGTCAATTTCTCTCCCTCCCTTCTTCCCTCTCTCCCTCTCTCCCTCCCTCCCTTCCTCCCTCCTTCCCCCCTCTGTCCTTGGCTTCACTGTTTTTGAGTTTTGAGAAAGGGACCAAACAAGTTTGCGATTTTGCATCGACACTTCATTGAAACAAATAAAAAGTCCTTTTCCCACTGCACTCTTGTCAGCTTTTAACCTCTCTGCTGCATGAAGAAGCTAGGAAACAAAAGGGAAGAAAAATTCACACCACAATTAAAAACATCGTTTCTGGATGATGACAGCAGTAACTGGGAGTGGGAGAGATGATATAGTAGTAATAGGAGTCATAGGAAACTCTTGAGTAGGACGGAATGTGTTCCTCAGGAAGTAAATCATCTGAAGGCTGACAGTGTTTATTTCAGGTTGGACTTGTGGAGGGGCGCCTGTCACGATTCTCTGTGCCCTGCACCTTTAGATGTGAACACATGGGGGTGGGGGGGCTGCGGCCACCACTGTACCCCACCCCTAAGACAAACTTGGTGGCATAAGGTTCTGCAGGGAGCTGACTGGTGGCCCTGGGTCCTGGGGCCACACTGCACTGGCATCCAGTTTTTTTCCAGTTGCCCGCAGCAGGCACTTGAGGTTTCCAGTTAATTTACTTCCATCCCAAACTCCAGCTGGCCACCGGTCACCACTGGCCCTGTACAGATGGTAGGAAGGGAGAAATGGATGGGACAGTACCTCTTCAACTTTCCTTTGTCTGGGTTGGTTTAGTTTCTTTATGTATATGCAAAAAGATAATTTCTTCCTAAGACTTAGTTGGTGGGGAAACTAAGGAAGCCTCCCCCCACACACACACAAGCAACTAAGGGGAAGAATCCTTTGGTGTTTTGGTTGTTTTTGTTTGTTTGTTGTGGTTTTTTTTTTGTTATTGTTGTTGCGGTTCTTCATCTCAGCTTAAAAATGTTATGGTATTAACAACCATGAAAACCTGGTGAAAACCGCCAGCTAGAGGTTCATGACTGAAAGTCAAAAAAAAAAAAAAAATGTCTCAAGTGGCTTGACAGAACACTGCTTTAATAAGTGTAAAAAACGAAGTGTGTGTGTGTGTGTGTGTGTGTGTGTGTGTGTGTGTATGAAATGAAATGGAGGGTACCTGTTTTGATTTTTTGTTGTGTGTGTTTCTTTTCCTAAAAAGGAAGACATTGAGGAGACTAGTTGAGGGAGGGGGACATGCAGTGGAAGCCATGCTCCTGGCTTCTCTCTTCTTGATCAGTTTTCCTGTGCGGTGATTAATTTTCCCTTTGGGTTACATTCGGGATTCTGAAGTCATACCCATATGCTTTCCTTCCAGAAGCTGGGGTGAGGGGTGCTGGACGTGTTTCCAAGCCTGTGAGCACTTTAATCCACTTTTCCTTTCCCTATTGAGAACAGTGGGAAGAGAGGGGACTCAGAGTTCTGGAGCCCTGCTCTTTTTGGACATACTGTATGTTCTACGTCACAGAGGCTAAGGGTGTCTTTGAAACCTTCTGCAATCCAGGGTCAAGAGAACTTGGAGAGGTCTCCCTCCCCTTCAAGCTGGTGGAGGGGACTAGGAATGCACACACACACACACACACACACACACACACACACACACAGAGAGAGAGAGAGAGAGAGAGAGAGAGAGAGAGAGAGAGAGAGAGAGAGAGAAATTCCACTTGGGAACTCCTAGCACTGAATGGCTTAAAGAGACAGTGGCGCCTTTGTTAGCCCTCAACAATGGGATGGTGTAACAACAACAGAGGTAAGTGTTGATTTCATCTATAAACTCCATCTTAGGCTAATTTGAACAGCTTTCTCTGCTTTCAACACCCCTCCCCTTTACCACACACACAGGCAGACGTGCAGGGAACACCCCCTACGCCCACCTCAGGACCACTTTTTTTTTTTTCTAAAAGCCAGTTCTCCAGTACATTTCCCCCTCCTTTCCTTAGGAAAGTGCTATTTCGTTCTGCAGGATTCAGATGGCTACTTCAGAGAGCGATGCATCTTTCCTGGGGTAGTGAAGGCTTTCTTTCCCTTTCCTCTTCCTTCCTCCTCTTCTTTGCCTTCCCCTCCTCTGTGTTCATCTCCTCTTCCCTTTGTTTCTGCTGCTTTTCTCCCCACTTATCCTTTTCCTCTCCTTCTGGTCCCCCTTCCTCTTCCTCCCCATCCCCTCCCCTTCTCTTCCTTTCTGAGACCCTCTCTGACTGGCCTCAAACTGGAGATTCTCCAGCCCTTCCTCCTGGGACGGTGGGTCCATGCCACCACACCCAACCAGGTCCTCTTAAAACTCAGCACCACAAACCCTCCCACTTATTAATAGGAAATTAGTGGAGAGGAGGAGGTGTGACCGGGGTGACTGAAGGGTTAGAGGCGTTTCCCTGAAGCTGGCTTGGACTTGTTCCACAAACTGGAGCTTAAGCTCAGACTCTGGCTTCCTTTCCCATCTAACCCCAGTGGCTGGAAGATTAGTTTTCTAAACGTGTATTACTTGTTCTGAGGCCCCCAGAGCAGACATTACGATGGAGTAACACATTAGAAACTTTGAAAAATATGATTTTCCCAAGGCGTTTGGTATCCACTCCAGCCAACCTGAAGTAGAAGCCTCTTTTCTAGCCACAAAGTCTTCTTTGGAAAATAAGAGCTAGTTCAGATAAGGATTTACTTAAAGATAGATCCCTTCTACATTGTATGGGGGAGTTTTCTACCATGCAGTTTAGATAGGTATATCCTATTGTTATAGGGGATCTCTAGTACTTTCTAATGCGAATGCCTTTATCTTCCTTGGGGGCAACCAAGAGAAACATTGAGGGATAATGACATGATTTGGCAGATACAGGAAGTTCAAGAAGGAAGCAAGTGAGCAAATTCCTTTCGCCTCTGTGCACAGATTTTTAATTGGTCAGGGTATATAAATTATGAAAAAAAATTGCCAGGTTTTGGGAGGCAAATCCTGGCACAGAGAAAGTTAAGGTTCCTGGAAGTCAACTCTCTTAGTTATTATCAGCCTAGGGCATAGATTGGC